ACGATGATCACCAGGTCGTTCCAATTCCCCAGCTTATCATACACCAGTTTCTCCTCCTTCTCCTTCTGGGCCATCCGAACCACATGGTTGGTCGCCTTGATGTTATAGTAGGTGGGTGATCTCTGTTTTCTTTGCGCCATCGAGACGCCCACCTGAATGTCTGGTCTGGTCTGTGATGCCAGCCATGACAAAGCTCCGATGGTGGACTGATTGTCCATCTTGGCCACCTCGTCTGCAGGGTCTTCTGGTAGTACTCCTTTGGGGATGTCCACCGTCTGGAGACGTGTGTTCACATAGTGCTCCTGGCTCAGTGTGACCTGATTCTTCTCCTGTTTCACCGTCACCCCACAATATTCCAGTCCAGTCGAAGCTTCTTCCCAAGCGTCTATATCGGGAAGATCCCCGAGAGTGCTTGTTCCAGAGCCTTGCGGGCGGGCGTAGGAGCTGTCGTCCACGTGGGTGGCCAATAATCCGAACAGCTGGTTGTCCTTGTCGATGACGAGGAACAGGCACTTGTCCAGGCTATGCTGGACAAGGTGTAGAGTTCCGCGCGCGGTCTCAACCCTGACTTCCAGCAGGGACTGAGCAAGTTTATCCCACCAGAGCCGTGGTGATGTGGACAGCCCGAAGACCCCTTTCACAATTTCGATGAGGTTCTACCCCTTCCAGGTCATCGGCTGGCGGTTCGAAGTAGAGGTCACGTCTCGCTTCAACCCCGTTCAAGAAAGCCGCCTCGATGTCCCCGGCCGCGAGTGTCCACCCCATCTGCGCAGTGAGGAAGACGAGGCATGTTATCGAAGTCTTGGTTGCAGTTGGAGCCTCAGTCGTGAGTTGCCCGGACTGTAGGTCAGGGTCACGATGTCCTCCCACACAGAGACGTGCCTTAGCCTTCGGAGGGATCGTCGAATCTTCACGTCTCTTGGTGCAGTTCTTGTCCCGGTAAGCGAACCGAGCTCTCAAGATCCTGCTCTTGTGGACCCTCTTTCGGACCTTTGCTGCCTCTTGGGCCCCAATGATCCTGATGGCCTTAGCCTTGTACTTCAGGCGCTCCCTCCATTGTTTGGCTTCCGCCTCCTTACTTCTCCGGGATCTGGTTCCACTTGAGCTCCTTGTCCGCCTGCTTCTGTAGAGCTCGAGGGACCCTCTTCTCAGAGGCCATGTAGCACAGCAGTTCCTGGTCCTCAGGGACCGGTACATCTTCTGGTTCTGGGACCATTGGGCAGTACCCCTTTTGTCGCATGCGCCTCTCAGGCACCGAGGTGTCGGCAGGTCGCTTGGCCCCTGAGTTTGGCTCCTCCTCCATAGGTTCGCCTTCATCAGGAAGCGAGGGAGTGTATTCAAGATCACCTCCAGCGTCGACGGGTGCAAGTTCTCCGGCGTCGGCGAAGACCTCCTCGTCGTCGATCTCCATGCCCTCGATGAGCTTGACCAAGTCGGACCTCACTGCCTTGGCTTGAAGTGTTCCTCCCAACTCTTCCGACTCGGCCAAACGGAGATGCTCTCGAGCACATAGTAGGCACCGACCCCCTCGTGAGACCCAGAAATTCTTACCTTCCTGCCCCACGATGACCCCAGGTCCGATCCATTCTCCCACGTTTTGCCTTTTGCGGGCCATGAAGTCTCCGTGTTGGACTCGTGGTCGCCCATGGATAGCCCGACCATTGATCGCCAGGGGAAATGAGGGCCTGTCTCTCAGCGATGTCGTCTTCCTCATCCAATATCCCTTCTCCCAAGCGAGGAGCCACCCCAAAAAGCCACTGAGCGGGGGAGTAGCCATGGCGACGTCGGAGGTAGTTCTTGGCCTGCGACACTGATGCCAGGACCCATTCGACCTCGTGGTCCTGCGTGGAGAGATGGTCTTTGACCCGGTCAAAGATCTGCCGGAACCACTCGTTCTGCCTCTCGATGTGTCCATTTTGCCAATGTGCTTGTCCCGCCGTGTAGTTGACCCGGATGCCGTGCTTCTCCAACTCTTCCGGGAAATCCTTCATGAGGCCTCTCTCTTGGTCCACCAGGGTACTTTGTGGAGCTCCGGCCCAAGCCACCCAACTCTTCAAGAAGCGCTGGGTGTAATCTTCTGCTTTCCTCCCGGTTACGGGCGCCACCACATGGTATCCAGACCCCACGTCCATGATCGAGAGGACCGTCACCTTGTTCCCGGAGAGGTCATAGAGGTGCATGGTGTCCACGGCGACCTCTTCGTTAAAGTCAAGAGGCTTGAAGACTTTTGCCGGTCTCCTGCTACCCGACCGGGCATGTCTCTTGCAGGTTTGGCAATGCAGTTGATGGCATGCCTTCACCGACTCTTCACTAGCGCCCGCCAGCTTCAGGTGTCGGGCTAGGTCGTTGTTGGAGGGATGTCCCATATTCTGGTGTACACGGCGGAGTGCCGTGGCCACTGATTTGGACGCGTGGGGTGGAAAAGAGATACCCGCACCACCTTCTGAACCGTCAGGTCCTCAAATGGCCCCCCGTAGTGGTCCTCCGTGGTCTTGTCCAGCCCCTCCAAGGTGTGCTGTTGTCAGGGAGTCAGCCTGGCAAGGCCAGCTCTGCGGAACGCGGAATGGCCTCGCGTCATGGTCGGATCATGGTCGAATCGTCCCTCCATTGTAACTAGAGTTTTCACCTGCGTCTTATGTGCCTTTCGACTGCGCAGGCTCACACAGTCTGGGTGCCCCGGGCGGGTGCTTCTAACGACTGCGCTCTCGTTTTGGTGCCGTGCGCATTTTCGCACATGGTGGTCACTTTTCGTGGCAGGCGCAGGGGAAACCTCTAGTGTTTTGGTGCTTTAAAGTCGACTTTTCGTGACAGGTGCAGTGCTTTGGACATGATCGTCGAGGAGCTCAGATTTCGTGACAGGTGCAGTCAGTGAATCGTGCCTTTTGGACATGTGGCTCGTTTGCAGATTTCGTGGCAGGCACAGCGCTGGGTGAACGTCGAAGTGCAGATTTCGTGGCAGGTGAACCTCAAAGTGCAGATTTCTTGTGAACCTCGCCGTGTAGATTTCGTGGCAGGCACAGCACTTGGTGAACCTCATCAAAGTGCAGATTTTGTGGCAGGTACGGCACTTGGTGAACCTCGAAGTGCAGATTTCGTGGCAGGAACAGCACTTTGTGAACCTCGCAGTGCAGATTTCGTGGCAGGCACACAACTTGGTGAACCTCGAAGTGCAGATTTCGTGGCAGGTACAGCACTTGGTGAACCTCGAAGTGCAGATTTCGTGGCAGGCACAGCACTTTGTGAACCTCAAAGTGCAGATTTCGTCGTGGCAGGCACACCACTTGGCGAACCTCAAAAGTGCAGATTTCGTGGCAGGTACAGCACTTGGTGCCACATTTTTTGATGAAGTCTTGCAGAAATGTTTCGCGCAGGTCTTCAACATGCATGTTGGAATCCAGTCTCGTAGGAAATGCGTACTTCCGTGTTACGGACTTTCCTCAGCTATAGGTCTAGTTTGCTCTAGTTCCAGGCAGCTCTCTAGCTCCAGGCAGCCTCTTGTCGCACGCACACACACACAGAGCAGTTCATATATGCACCGATGAAAAGCAAAAGAAGAAGCCACTGCATGCACAGTGCCACTGCGTGCACACTGCCAGAGCGAGTACGCCCTTGTGGGCTGATGACGCCATCGTTGCGGGCCAGAAAAAAAGGGAGTCCGCAGTGCGCAGGGCATGAAGGGACACTATATAGGTCAAATTGTTCTTATAGGAAACTTCCGCCGCCGGCTTGCCCGGGAACTGCTTGTATAGATCTTGCGGGCGTGGATCTAAGGTGCGTAATCTGGCGCAATGACTCTCCTGGCGTACACCATGCCAAGCTCCTTCAAGCTTTCCCAATCGATCGCCCAAGCCTTGGAGATTTCTGACTAGAGCAGAACTTAAGCACCCCACTTGCGCACCTCATGTTGGGGCACAAGGTGGAGTACCCAACCACTGTACTCTTGGCCTAGATAAGATGTCATAGGATCTAGTCAGACTTCGGCACACCTTTTGAGGAAGCTGTGCAGCCAGTGAGAAGTCCAAGACTTCAAACCATACGTTGGGCTGACTGCCCTAGAACAACACTGTTGCGTGAACTTCAGGCTGCCACCGTTTCCCAGGCTTGCAAGGTCGCAATTGATTGCTCGTGCCTGCTCTTGACGGTCAAATGTCTCCTGCACCGCGTCATTCATCCATGGGGCAAGGGCCGCACAGGCGAAGAATGCTACAACATCAAGCATTAAGATGCGTGAATCCTTGCTCAAGAGGTCCAGAACTGTTTTTTGAGTTTCTTTGCTGTCCAAGTTTGCAACTGCGATCTGGTCACTCACCTGGGCGCAGTGTGATGGTCTCCCTGGAAAGAAACACGCGGGCTGGGGTTTGCGCAGAGCTGGAAACCTTCGCCATCTCTGTCTTCAGCATCTGCTCAAAAACCTCGAAAACTGCTAGTATCTGTTGGTATGAAAATACGGCTGAAGCTACTGAAGCTTTATAGTGCGATGTACATTGACTTCAATCACCTCAACCATTGCATTCCGCGATGTCACCTCCTGCATTCACATATCCACAAGGAAATACAGACTAGAATAGCATTCAAGGAAAACAGTGAATTCAAGAGCGTCTCCTGGTTCAGAGTCACTCCCATCCACTTTGAGTTTGTCTCCAATTCCTGCGGGAATTAAACATCAATGCACGACGTGACCCCCCCCCAAGTCGCCAAGTTATGCGCCTTACATCTCTGATCCAACTCCTCGCACTTGAGCCGCAGGCCTATAGGAGTGGAAAGGAGCAAGTGCCACAAGTGCTTTCTTCTTCTTCTTCTTCAGCGTATCTTTCTAAGAATTGTGGAGTGACATATGTACCTTGTTTAAGCTATCGCCGCTGTTAGCGACCCCAAGGAAATTGCGATTTTAGGGTGCTGTCAGGTTGATGCTTCCTCGTTGATGTGGGGTGGGGTGGGGCATGTTAACGTTCGCTTGCGCTTGCATCACGAAGTTGATGCTTGGTTGTAGATGTGGGGTGGGGTGGGGTGGGTTGGGGTGAGGCATGTTAACGTTCGCTTGCAGTTGCGTCACGAAGTTGATGCTTCG